ACTAGGGAATGTAGCTCAGTGGTAGAGTGCTTGTCCAGTATGCACCAGGTCCTGGGTTCAATCCCCAGCACCGCCTCCCACCACCACCACCAAAAAAAAAAAAAAAAAAAAAAAAATAGCATCACCTACTATATACCTGAGCTATAGGTAAAGCCACTGTGCTATATGCAGTCCATCATTGACCAAAATGACTTTATGTGGAACATTACTATATATCTATCACAAAGTGTGTGTCGAGAATTAGGATGTAGTAACAAATTACCCCAGATGAAGAGGGTCAGGAGAAAGTTTAGGGCAATGTTAGAAAATCAGTTACAGTATATTATCCATTTCCACTTATGCGTCTAGCATTATCCTAGTCAAGAGAAGTATTAGAAGACCCTGCCATAAAATAAACCACATAGCCTATTGTGGTGGCAGCACCTGTAATCCCAGCCGCTCTGCAGACTGGGACAGGAGGATCACAGGTTCAAAGCCAGCCTCAGCAGCTTAAGCAAAAACCTTAAGTTTTTTTGTAAGAAAACTTAAGCAAAAAGGTAAGGGGTCGGGGGATGTTGTCGGTGGTTAGCTCCCTTGGATTCAACCACTCCCGGTACCAAATAAAATAAGCCGCATAGAGGAAAGTCACTTAGTTTTGTTACCCCCCAAAAAAAAAAAAAAATTGGTCTCTCTCTCTCTTTTTTTTTTTTTTTGTACTGAAGATTGAATCCCAGCCTGTTTCTCATTTTTAAAATTTTGAGACAGGGTTTTGCTAAATTGTTCAGGACCACCTTAAATTGCCCAGGCTGGCTTTGAACTTGTGATTCTCCTGCCTCAGCTTTTTTTTTTTTTTTTTTAATATTTATTTATTTATTTTTTAGTTATTGGCAGACACAACATCTTTGTATGTGGTGCTGAGGATCGAACCCGGCYGCACGCATGCCAGGCGAGCGCGCTACCGCTTGAGCCACATCCCCAGCCCCCTGCCTCAGCTTCTTGAGAGGCTGGGATTACTGGTATGAGCCACTGGGCCTGGCCAATTGGTCTGTTTGTASAGCATAAAAACTAACATTTTATAATTGTATCCTATAGACATAAAGGCAAAAAGCAGGTACAGTGATGGGCTCTGGGTGGTGTACAGGGCCAGACCTTGGGAGCCAGTCATCCCATTCAATCAAGTATCTTCTGAAGGATATGTCTAATAAGATGGGGATACACTTAAAAACCAGGTAGGCAGGTCGCTGCCCTCCTGGGGCCTATCGTCTGGCGAGAACCCTGCTCTGAGTCATTGACAAGCTCTAGCTATGTGACCTTGGATAAGAAAATTCTCCGCTCCCAATTCTGTAAAATATATGGGGTTAAACCAGGGAATCTGGTACTCAAATCCGGTGACCAAGGARTATCACTGGCTGCTGTATTCATATAGGAGTGGGTTAGGCTCCCGGCCCCTGTGCTACCGCAAGCCTGACGGCGGGGGCGCTGTGCAGGCATGCAGAGCGTTTGCGTTCCGAAAGCGCGTGTCCCTCGCCGCATGCCGTCGGCCGCGCGGCCGCCACCGCCAGCGGAGCGGGAGGGGCGGAGCTGGCTCTGTTCGGGCTCCCGAGCGGGGAGGCTGCCCAGGAGGAGGTGCGGCGGGTCCCAGCGGCCGAGGTTCGGGCGGAGCGACTGGAGAGGCTGGCAGGTGGTGCTGGCAGCGTGGGGAGAGCGGCGCCGTGGGCTGGGCGCTCTTGGCCAGAGGAGTTCACTCCATGCGTGCGGGCCAAGCACGGCCCCTGCGAGCCGCCGACATGAAGAAAGACGTGCGGATCCTGCTGGTGGGAGAACGTGAGTCCGCGCGCCCGGGCTGGCCGCGGCCGCCCTTGTCCTTCTCCTGCCTCAGCCTTGACCCTCCTCGCCCCTCGCAGGTCGGCTGTCCTCTCCGTGCCACCAGGCCTCCCAGCTCCTTCGCTCTTCCCTTTCGGCTACCCGCCGGCGGCCCTTATCCTCTCACCGCACCCGGGCCCTCCCCAGATCTCCCTTTCCTGTCCCCAGTGCTCGTCGCAAGCCTCGTCTCCTTTATCCCCTAACACCCGTCCTCATCCCTCCGAAGGTCCTCTCATCCTGCTCCTCCTCGCGTCCTTTCCTCCTGGGCCTCAGCGCTTCCCAGGCCGCCTCCTTTCACCCTCTCTTCTTCTGTGGAGATTCCCTTGTCAGTCACTGCCTGGTAGATGCTGGAACAGCAGCCTAACCAATTGGGATTGCGGGAGCCGACTCCCGGGGAAGCTAGGGGGAGGGGTGCAGAACTGTGCCACTTGGGGGCAAGGTCAGGTCTCTCTCTCTCTCTCTCTCTCTCTCTCTCTCTCTCTCTCTCTCTTCCTTTTTGCGCTCGCTGGCGGTCCTCGCTTTCTCGGTGCGTTGATTCAGAGCGCTGGGCTGTAGTCTAGCTTGGTGGTAGAGCACTTGCCTAACCTGCGCCAGGTCCGGGTGTTCGATCCCTAAGGCCGGGTGGTGGTGGCTGCGGAGGAGGCGTTTCATAGAGATCCTTGTGCTTTGTATGGGAGTAACTCCTGGTACTGCACATTTACTTTCAACTTCAAGTACTCAATTAGTAATAATTATCTGGGGAGAGTCCGTTAGTTGAGTCAATGATAGTTACCCTAAAACCTAATTCTTCCTACTTTTTTAACCATTATTTACTCCACGATTACTTGGTAGTTAATTTATAAATATCAGCAGGCATACAAGACTCCAGCAGGTATACACACACACACACACACACACACACACACACACACCACGACCACAAGACACACACGATCCCAACCCTGCGAGATTATAAGATTTCACCTTTTGCGGATAGCGGATATAATAAAAGAGAGATGCTTCTGCTCGGTGACATATAGATAGAACAGCAGGGACTTTTCTTATTTTTACTTTTTTTTTTTTTTTGGTATTAGGGTAAACCCAGGGGCACTCAACCACTGAGCCACATTCCCCAGCCCTTTTAGAGACAGGGTCTCCCCGAGTTATATAGGGCCTGGCTAAATTGCTGAGGCTGGATTTGAGAACTCATGATCCTCCTGCCTCAGCCTCTGGAGCTGCTGGGATTACAGGCATGTGCCATGGCGTCCAGCAGCAGGGACTTTTTAATACCATTGTGTCAGTTACATGACTCAGTTGCCAGGATTAAAATAAAAAGAAAGTAGGCTAGGGAGGGCTGGAGTTGTTTGGTTTTGAATCATTAATTAATGCTCCATTGCTGTTTTTTTCTTTCTTTCTTTCTTTTTTTTTAACAGGGATTGATCTCAGGGGTGCTTAGCCACTGAGCTGCACCCCCAGCACTTTTTATTTTTTGAGACAGGGTTTCACCAGGTTGCTAGGGCCTCGTAAATTGCTGAGGCTGATTCAGGGATTACAGGTGTGCGCCATTGCACCTGGCTGCCATTGCTGATTTTAAGCATTTTTTTTTTCCTAAACTACGTTACATATTTGAAGTTTCTGCTATGCGCTCCCGAAAGTTAACATATATTTACTCTCTGAATTGTTTGTTGAAATTTCTGTTCATCTGCTGTTTGGAGATATCTTCCTTTAGAATCAGAATTTTGAAGCAAGCTTAGCCATAGTTTATGTTTAGTTTGCAGTTAATGAATTTTAAGTTATAACTATTTAATTGTATTTTTCATGGATTTTCTTGATAAATTTCAGAAAGGTGTTATTTAACATGATTCATGAAGATACATTTGGAGCAAGATTAGAGAAAGTGGGTGACTTGCTTAGAAAGCCGATCCTTAACTGTATCTTGAAATGGGTTTATAGTATAGTAATTTTTATGCTAATTTTTAGAAAAAGAAAACTCTGGTTGGGGATGTAGCTCAATAGTAGAGTACTTGCCTTGCATGCTATCATCTACAAGGCCTTGGTTCCGTCCCCAGCACTGGGGGAAAAAAGATCCTAGGTTTAGTTTTGAATATAGGAAGCAATTCCATATTGTTGGTATATAAAAGATCTAAATAGAAATGTTGTCAATAGGGGCGGGGGTTGTGGCTCAGCGGTAGTTGCTGGCCTAGCAGTGGGAGGCCCTGGGTTCGATCCTCAGCACCACATAAAAATGAATAAATAAATAAAATAAATGTATTATGTCCATCTACAACTAAATAAATAAATAAATATTRCAAAAAAGTTGTTGATATGTAAGATACATCATCAGCCTTCAGACATTTTGGTTAAAACATTAAAGGTGTTGTTTATTTAGAAATATGTAAAATAGGGACTGGGGTGGTAGCTCAGTGGTAGAGTGCTTGCCTCCCATATGTGAGGCACTGGGTTCGATTCTCAACCCCACATATAAATATATAAATAAAATAAAGGTCCATCAACAACAACAAAATATTTTTTTATACAGTTTTTTTTTTAATGTTTATTTTTTAGTATTTGGCGGACACAACATCTTTGTTTGTATGTGATGCTGAGGATCGAACCCGGGCCGCACGCATAGCCAGGCTAGCGCGCTACCGCTTGAGCCAAATCCCCAGCCCCAACAACAAAAAAATATTTAAAAAAGGAAATATGTAAAGTAATTCAAATATTTATTACAAAAATCACAAGCTGTATTCTGTAGAAATGAAAGCAAGGAAAAGAGTTAATAAAACTATATATTAGAGTTTTCTGATTACAGGGGGAAACTTGACACAAGACAAAGTCTTAGTTTTTGAAGGTGACACTTAAAGAGGTTGAAATCAAAAGCTTTAGGCCATCTACTATAAATAAATAAATAAATAAATAAATGTAAATATTCATTTTTAAAATATTAGAAATAGAGTACATTTAATTAAAGTATATAATTTTATTTAGTCATTCAAAAAGCTGATATTTGGGGGGAAATATTTGAGACTTTATTTTTGGAGATTTAAAGAAAGTATCTGTTAGTTGTTAGCTCTTTAAGTGTGACCAAAGCTATTTTAATATGGATCTGATACATGGATTTATCTATACCACTAATATTAGAAAACAGTGGTAGCAATTTGAATTATCACTTGCTTGCTTAAGTGAGCATAGTTTTCAGATGCCAAGGTGAACAGAAAAGTAAAGAAAATGGAGCATCCTCTCTGGTATTATTGTTTTAAAACTTGCTCTTTCATTCTGTATCACTTTGTTACATTTTATTGCTGTCAATTTCTGTCCCTGAACCATGCAGTAGCAGCTTCATTCACTGAAGTTCTGAAATAGTTATGAGTACTTTCAACATTCTATTAGCTAAACCATTCTACTGTACTGTTGAGGTGCAATGGATCTTTTTTTTTTTTTTGGCCCACTTCTGATTCATCCAGGCTTTAATGCTAATTGCTTAATGTTTATTTAGCTTAGACCAAAGAAGTTTGTCTCTCTATACATTTTAGGTATTTGTTACAGAGAAAGTGAAAGTGTCTTAAATGTAATATATATCTTAGCTTAATTATTGAACATAGCAAATGCTATTCAGACCAGACCAGAAGTCAATTACTATTCTTAAGCCAAAATAAAAATTTAAAAATCTTTAAAAATACACTCACATAGAACTCAGTTCTTCAGGGCATAACTTTTCATGGTCAATTTGTTGGCTAGAATTTATACTTAACTAGATTTGCTTTAGTATACTTAACAGGTATCCTTGTTACAGTAGAATTAGCAAGCACTGTATTACCCTTTTATCTAAATCATGTTGCTACATTAGTAGATTAATGAAGGCTTGAGATATATTTGTCTTCTACTGGTAAAAGTCATTAAGAAAATGGAACTGTTATTTTGTTTTCCAAAGAATCTGGTACCTCTAACCTGGTTTGTCTTACCTAATTTATCTCCCCAACTTCCCAAACTAGTTCAAGCTTCAGTTGTTGTGGTCTAGACTTTTGCAATATCTGCTTAACTGGTCTCCCTCCTACTTTTGTTCATTCTCTGTGAAGCAGGCAGAATCACCTTCAAAAAATATCTCGGATCTTTTTACCCATTTTAAAAATTCTCGAATGATTTCTACTTTCACTTAGAGTGAAGTCCAGACTTTTTAAATACAGGTCTCCGAGACTCTTAATGATCTTGCCTTTGCTTCACTCTCATGCTACTCTCCTTCATTGATTCTCTACAAGTAGGCCTTGATTTGGGAAATATCCTCATTACCAAATGTATTTACTCATTTGCTTTCCTATTTCTCAAAAGAAAGCTTCATGAAGGCATGGGATTTGTCTTATTTGTTGCTCTCTCTCCAGCAGCTAGAACAGACTTGGCACAAAGTAAGCATTCAAGTGTCTGTTGAATGAATGAGTTCCTTTTTCCAAATGACTCCTCTCATTCATAAAAATGTGATCATTCCCCTTTTCTCTCTCTCTTTAAAAAAAATTTATACTTTTATTAGTGCATTATAGTTGTACATAATTGTGGGGTTCTTTGTGACATATTCATAAGTTCATGTACCATAATTTGCTCTATTTCATTCCCGCATACTTCCCCTTTCCCTCCTTCTCGTCTCCTTCCTCAATTCTACTGGTTTGCCTTCTATTTATTTATTAATTTATTTTTAATTGGTGCATTATAATTATTCATAGAGTGGAATTCATTGTGGTACATTTATACATGCACATAGAATAAATAATTTGGTTGATTTCATTTCACAGTCTCTCCCCTTTCCTACCCTTCCTCTACTGGTCTCCATTCTATTTTCATGAGATCCTCTTTTGAAAATTCCTAATTTCCCTTTAGCTTCTGCATCATTCTCCTTTCTTAAATCCAGGCTCATGTAGTCATTGTTATGATCTGAAGGAGTAGCATTCTTCCAGTTCTCTCCTTTTGTGTCCTTAGCTCCTGTGTGTGTGTCC